GCAGTCCTGCTATTTCTGCCGAGATGGACTACACTTTCAGTGAGCCAAAATAAATTTTTCCTTAATTAGATTCCTAAGATATTTCATAACAGAAAAAGAAAAGTACAGAAAGCATGTTTTCTTCCTATTTCCTTCACACAAAAGTGTGTGTGTGTGTGTGTGTGTGTGTGTCTATGTGTATATTATATATCTGGGTCTATGTCTATGTCTGTGTGTGTGTCTCTGCGTGTTTCAGGTTCTCTCTGTGTTTGTGTCTGTCTGTGTCTGTGTGTTGGTGTATATCTGTGTTTTATGTTTGTCTGTGTCTGTTTTTGTAAGTTTGTGTCCATGTGTCTGTGACTATTTGTCTGAGTCTCTCTGTTTGTGTGTGTCGTCTGTGTGCTTGCACCTGTGTGTCTCTGTGTGTGTGTGTGTGTGTCTGTGTCTCTGTGCATCTATGTCTGTGTCTTTGGGTCTGTGAGTGTCTATGTGTGTGTGTGTATCTGTATTTATGTATGTATCTGTGTTTGTGGGTTCTGTGTGTAACTCTGTGTATATTACATACTTTGGAGTAAAGATAACAGGTACAGATTTTTTTGAGTTGATCTTGTATGCTACCACATTACTGAAGGTATTTATCAGCTGTAGGAGTTCTTTGGTAGAGTTTTTGGGGTCACTGATGTAGACCATCATATTATCTGCAGATAACAAAAGTTTGACCTCTTCATTTCCAATTCGAATCCCCTTTTCTCTTATGTTGTCTTATTGCTATTGCTAGAACTTCAAGCACTATGTTGAAGAGATATGATGAGAGTGGACAGCCTTGTCTTGTTCCTGATTTTAGTGGAATGGTTTTGAGATTCTCTCCATTTAATTTGATATTAGCTGTTGGTTTGCTGTATATTGCTTTTATTACATTTAGATATGACCCTTGTATCCCTAACCTCTCCAAGATCTTTAACATAAAGGAGTGTTGAATTTTGTCAAATGCTTTTTCAGCATGTAATGAAAAGATCATGTGGGTGTTTTTTTGGTTTATTTATATGATGAATTACATTGATAGACTTTTGTATGTTGAACCAGCCCTGCTTCTCTGGGATGAAGCCTACTTGATCATAATGGATAATGCAGCAGAAGGAGGGAGAAGACGATAAAGGAAGTCAGGACCGCAAGGGGTTGGTCCACCAGCTGAGGCAGAATGCATATTCTAATAGGAACTCACCAAATCCAGCTGGACCAGGACTGATTGAGAGTGATCAAACTGGACTCTCTGAATGTGCCTGGTATTGGGGGCTGACTGAGAAGCCATTGATAAAGGAACAGGGACTTGTTTCTACTGCATGTACTGGATTTTTGGGATCATAGTCTATTTGGATGCACAGCTTCCTAGGCATGGATGTAGGGGTGAGGGCCTTGGACTTCCCAGAAGGCAGGGTTCCCTGCCCTCGCTTAAGGAGGGGAGAGGGGGAGTGGGGGAGAGGGAGGGGAATGGGAGGAGGGGAAGAAGTGCAAATTTTTGAATGGAAAAATTAAAAAATAAAAAAAGATAACAGGTACAAATACAGTTCATTAGTTCAATCAGATTCTATAAACAACTTTAAGTAATGCTGAAAATTCTGCTTATTTCTCTTTTACGCTAAACAATCTATTTCATAGACAAAACAGGGTTAAGAGAAAAAAGTGCATATTTGCCCTTAAAACCTGCTGTGAATTTATTCAAAGTATTACTAAATTATTTTAAATCTGGTTTCTTCTACTACTCTATGTTCACTCATGAATTTCTCCTTAATTTTTCAAAGTAAACACAGAATAAAAAGACTAGGCCTTATTCGAGAAGATGTATGTCCTCATTAAAGCTATTTTTCAGTTGATTTCAGTTGTGTCAACTTATGATTAACCACACTAATGAAGAGAAGCAATATCACAGAGAACTCAACATGGAGAAATGCAAAGCAATTTATTTTTGCATCCCAAGTAATTTATTTCATTTTTAAAGCAGAGTTACAATCATCAAAATGGTTTTCTTAAGCACACAAAACCATTATAGGTTCCTAACCTTCTAATTATTTATTTTAGTAGATAAAAAAAAGCAACCTGGAAAAGTTGTGATAAATTAAAAGTATCTTAAATGAGATTTTTAAAATTGTTACAGTGAAAACTGTGAATCCTGAGATATGTATGAACAAGAAACTACTTGACAAGAAGATACATGTATTTGTGCATGATTACATATAAACCAACATAGATTTTCTTTGCATATTTGTCCATTTTCATGCATACACAAGGAGATGTTTTTGAAGCTTTAACAAAAATGGAGGTAATATATTATACTAAAAGTACTTATTCTGGAAGACATAAATGACAGCATATAAAAATGCAATAATATAATAACTTTCTCTTCACTATTTTAACAAAATATATAATTCAATTAACACTTAAAACATAATGATAATAAACTCATATATCCAACACATTTCTATTCATAAATAAAATATGCAAATATTTAAGCATGCATTAAATGCCTTATAATTGATCTTGTGTTCAACAGATCAATTAGCTTTGAAATAAGATACCCCGAGAAAAATCATGCTGTCTAAAAAAATAGGAAATATATTAAAAATTAGTAGAACTTAATTCTGTATTTCTCAGATCTCATGGGAGTTTTTAATACCTCTTATTCCTATGGTGCTTCACAAATGAGATGATAAATGCATCAATCTAATATGATTCTCTATTGTATATCATTTTTATGTGTGCTTATGGACCAATAAAATATATCCTCTCAATCAAATTTTAAGGTTTGATAGTATAAAAATAGTGTAGGCCTATAACATGGCAAATGGTAACATGTTTATATTTAGTCCAATAACAATAAGTATACACAGATTTCACAATGTGGACAAAGGGAATGTTGCTCCATTTATACTACCTGCTTGCACATAACCAAAAGTTACATTTCATACCACTGAACTGCATAATCTGAAATGTGTGTGTGTGTGTATATATATATATATATATATATATATATATATGCAAATAAAATCATATGTGCAAGAATTGAGTTCTTGTGTTTGCCTGAAACTATATGATTATCAATAGTACAGAGTAGTTAGGGCCCTGTACCAGGAGTAAGACCTCCCAAACTGAAATTTTTGCTTGTCATCTTTGAAGAACCACCACACAGGCAAGAATTTGACTTCCTCAATTCATCAATAACCTCATCTAAGTCTGAAGAGCTATTGTTGGGTTAAGTAAACTAACACATATCAAATATAACAACAGTATTAGACAGTTTTCATAATTTTTAGTCATAAACTTAGTTCCATTCAATAAATATGACATTTATGATATATACTTAACAAGGTAAAATCAAATCATTCTTGTATTATATTTACTTTTAGTAACTTTTCCTATGATAACCAGATTTATGCAAGCAAAGAGAAGTCATAATTCAATACACTTTCCACTCATATAAATGTCATCAAAGCAACTTTATTATAACAACATTTACCAAGATTGACAAGACTGAATGTTTACAAATAATTCCCAATTGTCAAGGTTTATGATTCCATTTATAAAAATTTGTTTTCCAAAAAAAAACATGAATGCATTTCATTCTGTTTGACATGTTTTCATTACATTTTTTTTTCTGAGCACATTGGAATGACTCATTGGGAAACCAAGAGAAAAATAAATTATTTAAATCCTCGTATGAGATTCAATAAATAAAAATGGGTAAATGTGGTAATAGAATGTGAATGCAGATAATATATAAAATACTGTGTATAATAAGGAATACAATGGAACCAGATAATGAAGTACGAATTCTGAAGCATTACTTGGGTGCAAATTCTTGCTTCATATGCCAGACTAAGATGGTCATTGGTGATTCACAGCCAGATTTTGAGAATATTTAACATGATTTACAAATGCTTCTAGATCAAAGTTGTTACTTTGATTATGAAATAGTCCCCTAAAGATTCAAACACTAAAGGGTTGTCTTCTAAGGCGGAAGAATGTGAGGCAGCAGACCCTTAACAAGTAGAGTCTCAGGGGAATGCCCTGGGAGAGGCCAGAGGACTCTCAGCTCTTTACTTTTCTCTTAGATTATTTGTTTGTGATCTAAATTGTTTCTTCTACAATGTTCACCCTCTCCAGGTACACGCAGCAAAGTGGAAGAGTTCTCTTGGTCTAGAACCTCCAGAAACATGTCTTAAACTAGCTTTTATTTTTCTGTATAACTGATATATTTCATAATGCCCAGAGAACACTGACTGAGTCCCAAACACTACTGCTTCACCAAGTGTACTTCGTGTTAAGAAGACCATCCTCTGAAGCTGAAGACACTTGTTTTGAACCTGTAGAGAGAATTCTGTACTGTGTCACAGAATCTAGTGAATAAGGCTTCACTGATTTTGTGTGATTACGATTATGGTGACAGGAACGTTCTCACTTACATCGCATATGCTTGCTGGTCAGTGTGGTTTTCCTTCGTTAGTGAGCTAGCCAGGGTACAAGCTCTGTCTAGCTACTGAGTTGGAGAATATTATTTAGTGCCTAGCATTTTCTTCAGGGTCTTGCTAAGGCCCCTGTTGAATGTAATCACCAAGAGTTTTCCATTTAAATGAAACATTTTAATCAGTTAAAGTGGAGACGGTAATGATATTTCTTTTGAAAATTTTCACAAATAAATCTACTGCCAGATGGATACCCCTGGAAACTAGATGAAGTGACTTGTAACAACCAATAAAAATAGACATGGTAAATAAAGTTAAAAATCTCAAATCAGCAATCTAAGCCATGTTTCTAAAAATAAATGGAATTCTGACATAATCATGCACCTAATTATCTCCTTCCTAACTTTATTATACTGAAATAAACATAGTTACTGCATAGATTTTCCTCTTGTGCATGTTTATGTGTTCAGCATTTTAAAGTCTAACCAGGCAATGAATACTATTTCTAGAACATAGCAGGTATGAGAATTTATATATTTTTATTTAAAAATAATAGATTCTTACCTTGATCAAATGGTTTTCCTGGGCTCCAAGTGCGGAAATAATCATCCTAAGAGAGGGAAATAGCATGAAATAAGTATATATGATCAATTTAAATAGATGGATTCATATAAAATCTAAAATAATATATGAAACATAGAAACAGCATACAAACCTCTACTTCCTGCAATGGCAAGCAGCAAATTTCAAAAAAAAAAAGGAAAAAGAAAGGGGACAGAGAAAAAGAATAGTTACCAAAAAGGAACACAACTGTACACAAGTTAAAGAAAAGAGTTTCAATACATGTGCTCAGTTTTACTAGAAGCCAGGGGTTACTGTAACAATTTAATTATTTTTGTTGGCACTTTTCTTAAATATTATAATGAGCTGCTTTCTATTGCAATCCAATGTGCAATATAACATGCAGATAATTACCCCTAAGCTAATAAGCTGTAAAGTATCTTACTAGATTCCAATTATAGAACTTCATTTCCCACTAGTACAATAGTAAATGGATCCATTAATATAACAGGGAAAATATCAAGTGATTCTACAATAGCCCATAGAGTATAAATAGACTTTATGCAAATCATTCACACATTAATTGAATAACCACAGAGTTCATCAAAATGCAATTGGGAGATTGTGAAAAGCACACCTAATTAAACTCCGGTTAATGTTTAAATATTTAATATGGAAAAGAATATATATAATATACTTATTATGTAAATAGTAAAGTTAACTGAATGACAGAAAACTGGAGAAATGTACACCAAAAACATCTAAAAGGCACATACAAATGGACCTCATATTATCTTTTACTTTAAAACCTTATACAGTACTTCATCTATAATGTCTTCAATCATGAATAAAAATGATGTTAGAGCTCAAATTAATGCACTGTTGTTATAATGATAATATAAGAACCAAAACACAGCATCAAGAGTTGCAGTAGTTCTGGATGGTGCACCCACACCATCTACTTAGGTGAAAAGCCACAAAACTCCAAGAGTACAAAAAGTCAAGTAGAAATTGTTGTTATTATGTTTTACCTCCTGTTCCAGTTACTCCTCCCATGTTCATAAGCTCATGATTTTTTTTTTCAATTTTATGACCCAAGTTTTAAACAAGAGTTTTGTGCGACTTTGGGTTTGGTACTGTTTTTGAAGTATGGAAGTTTCAGCAGTGTTCCCAGTCAACAAGTACAAACAGTGTCAACCTCTCATACAGAATGTGTAATTAGTTCATATTTCACTGTTGGAAGGTTGGAGCTTGCTGACCCTCAAGACTGTTGATAGAAGTCATTTGGAGACCCACTGGACGTCTGTGTTGTGATTCATGATTGTATTGACTGTATCATGGCCACATGATAGCACAGCTCCCCCTTTCTTCTATCTCTTATCTCCTATCCTCATACTTTGCTGGTCTTTGAGCCTTAGAGCAGGCGATGCTAATACACTGTTGAGTGATGAGCACTACTCACCAGTTACTTATTCTCAGTACTTTCTCAGAGAAGTTTCTTTATTAGGAGAGGATCATTTGTTTATGGGTATAAATAAGTATTTAGACATTTTACTTTTGATTATAAAAACAATCATGGTTACCTACTCATTATAAAAATTAAATTTCATTTCCAAAGTTTTATTTTCTTATTATAACTGCTCACCACCATCTTTTGTGTGCCTACCCACCCACTGCAAATGACAGGACAGAAAATCCCTAGAAGCCCTATCAGTCAGTCCTGTTTTGGGCCCAAGTGAAGGTTACATTAAAAGAAACAAATGACAGCTGTCTATACTAATAGGTTGTGTCCTAAATTATGTAGGATTAGATTAAGAAAGAATAGTACCATGCCTCAGGATAATTAAATCAACATTGATCGTTTAAACTCTCTTTTTAAAAAAAATCTCTTTTTAAAAGTAATTACTCCAAGATAGAATTCTTGGAAAACTAATCTTTCAAATTAAATTACTTCACTAAGTGTCTAAACTACTGGGAACACGCATATGGCTCAATGGTTAAGAAATATGTGTTGACCACAAAGTGGACAACAGTTTGGTTCAAGCATCCACACAGGTACCTTTCAACCACCATCAATCAAGTTCCACAACAACTGATATCCTCATCTGGATTCTTATGGCAACTACTCTCGTGTGTGCAAACACCACCACCACCACAACAACAACAATAACAACAACAGCACACACACACACACACACACACACACACACACACACACACACAGATAATTTAAAATAAAACAAAATCTTTTTTAAACTTCCAAATTCAAGATGAAGATCATGGCATGCTTATTTTAATTTCTCATATCTTTAAAATGGTGTGTTCCTGCTTGAAGATAATGTTATATTTCATTCAAAGAGGAGTGAGACAGCTGTGCATTTACATATCCCCTACAGCATGCCAGACATTAAATCTGAGCACACCTGCACAGTCTGAGTAAATATGAAGTACAGGTCTGGCTTTAACACTTGGCAGGGGAATCTACTTACAAGAGTGATGATCTAGAATTCAGAACCCCAGGAGCCAAATTGGAAAAATAATACACAGCAATTTGAGAAGGACGTTTTGTGTGTATATATGTATATATAAACATATTATCAACAACAACAACAACAAAACCACCAGCAGAACATCAGGCGTGGATACATTAGAACACTGACACTCCTTGGGAAAGGTCACCTCCCCCTGTTATTCCCTTCGACCTCTCTTGATAGCTAACAAATCCATTCAGGTTTTTCCAATTCTTAGAAGCAATGATGGAACCCTTCAATGTTAAAAGTCTGTTTCAAAGAGATGTAATGGTAAGATTTAACCTCAGTCAAATGTAATTAACCACTCTGCAGACTACAATGACCAGGCTTAATCAAATTGGACCGATAATTATATAAAGCCTGTCATTAGAACTCTTTGGGAAACCAAAGGCAACATGCATGCATGACTTCTGCATGTGAGAACTGAGAAGTGCACTTTATGGGCTACTTTTACAGATCAGCTCCCTGTCCTCACCTCACTGGATGTTTACTGTTTTCATATTTATTTGCTTGTTTATTTTTGACAATGGTTTTGCGTAGTTAAACCATGGGAGTTTTGTCAGGATGAACAGTAAAAGTATGTTTCTTAACACAAGTGTTCACTCTACAACCTTCTTGTCCTTCCAAGGACTTTATATTGATATTGGTTTTTCCACATCTTCAATTTAGATTGGAAACAAGCTCACGGGGATTTAATAAAGACTCAGAAGAAATGTGCCCAATTGGTTAAACTTGGGTCTAGGAAAACACAGTCAAACCTGAGTTAATTAAAAACAAGATGATTCTTGAATCATCAGCAAGGTCTCACATTATTGAATTATACACAGTACAAGCATTTAATATAGTTAATCTGAGTCCTTTGTCAATTCCTTGTGCTAAAGAAATCTTACTGGTTTTACATGAAAGAGTCTATATATAAAAATGTGCTGTGTAGGGCCTTATTTAGAATGTATTTTTCCTTGTGTTGCAATGCCTGGGTTCCTCCTATTTTGTGAATTGTGTGTGTGTGTTCAACAAAAACATTGACATTCATGCTATTTCAGTCCAGATAATTCTTCCTTGTGTAGAGAACAATGGGCTTGTCTGTGCTTTGTAGGCTATTTGCAGTTCCCTAGGCCTCTGTAAAAAAAAAAATTAGAAGACATTCTCCTTCAAGGTTTGTCAAACAGAGATACCACCAGATGTTTCCAAATATCTTCTGGGAGAAATATCATTCATTTCAAGAATACATACGGAGAATTACTGGGATACATGAAAAGGATATTGAAGCAAAATATATAATAGAGAAGTGCTATCAGTAAAGGTATTCTTAATAAATATTTCATATTATTAAGATATTTTATACATACATGATTTTGAAAACATATTGTGGCAGACATACAATTTTGAATGAATTTCTTATTATTTAGGTTTGCCTGTATCTAATCTGTGCTTTTACACTATTTATAACTTCTTAATATAACAAATATGCTAATTGATGTCGGAAAATTTTTCTGTTTTATAAATACACTATTAAGTTTTGGAAAGTAGGCAACAACACCAGTCATAATAATAAAAAGAGTTTGCCTTTATAACTGATGATAACATGGCATTATGCAGATTAATTATGTCACAAGAAGAAATTTGTGTGTGTGACCATCAGCTGTTTTATTTGTATCCACACAGCTTCATTTATATTAAAAATGCAAAGCCACTCAAAAGCTTAATATAATTTCTAATAGACTCAAAAAACATAGAAATCCACACAGAAACACAAAATACATAGATTATCCAGCACAACCCGAATAAAAATGAATGATGCTTGACTACAGGACAACTCAAATAAAAATAGCATTTTACTAGCATAAAAACTGACACACAGACTAATGTTATAAAATGAATGACTCACATACATAGCCTTGTAACGTCATCCACCGGATTTTTGACAAACAAGATAAAAATAAACATCTGAGGAAAAATGGGGTCCTCAAAAATGGTACAAAGAAAACTGTATATCTGTATTTAGATGAATGAAACTATACTCTTATATATCCCCCAGTACAAAAGTAAGCTCAAAATGGATAAAATACCTCAATATAAAAATGAAACTATGTTTGTAGCTAGTTAAGCTGACCATGTTTCCTTCCCTACAGGGAACCGGTGTTGACAGATTGCAAACAGCAGCCTCTTTGGTGGTGTGTGCAGGCTGTTGCCTAGTTGTTCTAAGGAACCTTGAAAACAATTTTTTGGCAGTTATTCAAGTCTCTGATCATAATGCTGTGTCAAACTTAGGGTCCAGTGAAGGATACATGGTGCGTTCTGGAAGCCCCAGGGCACAGGGTTGAGGGTTTACATTGTCCAGGTCACCATGCCCATCTGCATCAAGCTGTAGAAAGGACATGTGATTGAGGTTTTGTGTAGAGTCAAGTTCTCATTCCCAGGTCTCCAGAAAATCTACAGCTCAATGAAGTGGGGCTTCACCAATAAATTTGAAGACATAATCTCTTAGAAACAGCTCATTCGTGATGGCTGTGAGGTCAAAATATCGCCAGTTGTGTTCCCCTGGACAAGTGGTGAATCCTGCATTCCTGAAAACTTCCACAGTGATCTCCCATACACTACTAAATAGTGTTCAGTAATAAATCTCACACCCATTCTGCTAAAAAGAAAAGAAGAAGAAGAAGAAGAAGAAGAAGAAGAAGAAGAAGAAGAAGAA